GGTCAGTATGGTGGACATCATCAAGGCATGCCAGGTTACCTTCCTGGTGCTATGCCACCGTATGGGCAGGGACCGCCGATGGTGCCCCCTTACCAAGGTGGGCCTCCTCGACCTCCAATGGGAATGAGACCTCCTGTAATGTCGCAAGGTGGCCGTTACTGATCTTGCTTCATCCAGTCTAATAGGTTTGGAGATTAAACCTTTTCTCAACTTGTGCTGTTTATATAGCCAAGCTTCCGTCAATAAGGCTTCATTGTGACTTTAACAAACATTATCTTCCCACATACCAGGAACTATTGGACATTTATTTTACATGGGAAAATTTATTTGGAATAATAAAGCAGGAACTTTTCCTGAAGTTGCAATTTATACTGTATGGCTTCTTTTTCATGTTTCATCTAGGTTTTTAGAAGTGAAGTATAGTAAATTTGGTTCGTTAAATTGTGAAGGCGCTGGAATTACATGAACATACCACCTTAATAAAGGCAAGTTCTGTAAGCTTACATTGCTATTTGTAAAGTTATGCCTTCACAGCATTTCAGATGCTGTTGGACTTCATGTCCCCAACCTAGCTTGGTGAGGGCTGTAACTATTTCCAAGTAACCTGTACATTGGAAGTCTGAATGTGTAACAATATTTAATGTATTTAGAGTTCCTCATGTTGCAGGGTTTAAGAAATCTGACCCAACAAGGTCATGTGACTTTTTCTGTACTGTTAAACTTCATTGTAATAAAATAAAAGAAAAATTAAAAAAAAAAAAAAACTCTCAAAGTGGCAAAATTGAACATATCCACTCACAGATCCAGCTGTTCTGGAGCATATAAAAATAAGCAAATGTATGTAAAGTTAAAATCATGCTTATCAGTCAGTGTGTCAGTATTCCAATTTACTTAGAAATTATCTAAAGGATATGGAGGGAAGAGATGTAACTCCCAAACCTGCTAGATATCTGAAACACGAGTTCATGTTCTCTAAAATTGAAGAATGAATTCTAGGAACAATGAAGGTTAAGAATAGGAAAAATTTATTGAGGGAAAGAAAACTTCTAAGAAAGACAGAAGGGGGACCAGAAAGTGAGTTGCCCACTCACCCTAATTTTCAAAGATGTTTTATACAGTAAAGCCATGTGGTGTGGTAAGTACAAAGTGGGACAAAACTGTAAGACTCAGTGAAAAATTACAAGGTGGGCATGAGGTGGGGCAAAACCAAAGACCGATAGGATTACAAGTACAATCACCTAGGTAATATTGATTAAATGGGGGTCACATGGGAGAGCAAGTCGCATAGCAAGTGTACAAGGATTTTCAGTAAGGGTGGGGATCAGGGATATTTACTGGAAAGGCTTGATTAAGACCTTGGCCCCCCACCCAGGTGAGTGAAACCTATTTAAAATATCAATCACTGCTATTCATCCCCAGGGGAAGCACAAAGGTATAGTAGTTTTTCTCCTTTTATAATTCTGGCCTTCAGTGAATGTGTATTGATTGTCCTCCATGTCGGCTCCTTGCTGTGTTGGCTCCTTGAGGGGGAGGCCCTGTCTAACTGCCCACAAGATATCTAGTTAACTTACCTACCTGCAATATAAATATCTAATGCCTATCCATTAATTACCTCAATTTGATATCAATCTAGATTTTGAATTCCTAAAAATCTTGTAAAATATCTTTAAGTAAACATATTACAATGTCTAGACATTGTTGCAGTGAAATTTGTCTGAATAATGACCTAATTTGAATAAACACTAATGTGCATTTTTCACAATCTTAAACATTAAGTAAAGTAATTGTTGGCTTATTTGTGCAGTAAGTCTCTGTAAGTAAAGAAGGATATACACCTAAGTGGAATGAAGTATGTATTTATATTCATTTAACACTGATAGAGAACATGTAATTGTTTTTATTAAGCCAAAAATAATAAACTAGCTATATTTTCCAAAGATTTCCTTTAGTTAAAAAATTGGATTCTTAAACATTTTCTGAGTTAGGTTCTATAAAAACTGTTTATTCTAAAACACTTAAATTATAATCTGTTCAATTTCCTTATTTCTAGGAATTTGGAGACTATTCACTTTATGTAAGTGCTTATTTATCTTTACAAGTCAGTCAGAACAGATCTTTTAATTTAAGATACTTTATAATCTATTAATACTCCCTGGTTCAAGGAAAACATTATACACTCAAAGAAAGATAAAAGCCTTTCTAAATTACAAATACATAAACACACTAATACAAAAAGTTTAAAGCTTCAATTCTACCATTTCAGCCACGGTGCAAGAGTAAAAGTAGAAACACAAAAATATACTGAGCCAACTGTCAAAGAGTTGCTCTCATTCCCTATGGACAAGAAATTCTTAATTGACTTGAGCTTGAAATAAATGAACAAAAAGACTGATAGCACAGATTCTCTGTTGGTTCTCACCAAAGACTAGATCTCTATAAGCCATTAACCCATTCACAGAGATTTCCAAATAATCAGCCCATATAACCAAAATCTCTCAGATCACTGCCTGTTAGGGAATTGATGATGTTAAAGTATTTTGTGACACCGCCATTTTGGGCTGGGTTTCTGGGTTCTTCTTCCCCTAAACCCCTGTTTTAAGTTTCCTTTTCCCCAAGACCATGTCAGCATATAGAATGGAAACCTAAAGCTTACTGCAAGGCTCCCTCCTTAAAAAGTAACATGGCTTGCAATAGGTTAAGAGAAGCCTACCCCACCCTAACAAGGAAGTCTTTGGCTCCAAGCCCTATAAATAGGCCAGCACTTCCTCATCTCTCTCTCTCTGCTCTCTCTCTCTGCTCTGCTCCCCTGAATAAAGTCTCCAGTCAGACCTTTCAGTGTGCATGGCCTAGTTGTTGAGGTTCGCTGTTCCCTTTCACTGCCAGCAATCAGGAATAACTGCTCAAAACACAAGGCAAAATTAGTAGAGAAAAAAATTGAAATTCATTGGTAAAATTGAAATATTTTGGTGGAAGACATCCAAAATTGTCAAAAAATCATTAATTTCATGCAGCTATAAAATTAAATACATATCAAAGATTTTATATAGCTTTATAAAGCAATCAAGTAGGTGTTACAGCTGATTCAAAGGAGAAAAATTTTTAAAGCACAAATTTATCTGGAGCAAAACAATGAATATGCAAATGGAGGCAAGACTGGTTCAATAAGAAGTCATAATCTGGTTCCAATAGGAAGTCATAATCTCTATCAGGACAGAATTCACAGATCTTTAGGCAAAAATTATTCTGAATTGCTGTAGGTTAACTACAATTTACCCCACAGAACCAGAAGCTGATAATCCAAAGCAGCATCTTCTAGCCAGCACATAAGCCCTTTGAAGCTTAAGGTTTATCAGTTTCACATTAAATCTACCTTTGCTTCTATTCATCTTTCAAAACTCTGGCCTTCAGAGTTTCTTGATTCCCTGATGTCCTTTTTCCTCTCTTAGATTAAATAATTAGTCACTTATGTTATTTGTATAACCTGTACATCTTAGAATATTGCATTTGTTGCCCTGGGTTATCTCACTAGATTGTAAACTTCTGAAAATAAATGAATAAACGAATGACTCCAAAACATAGCATTTAGCTTGGTGGTTTCTCAGTCAAGCTCTCTTATGTAGCTGCAGTCATGTAGTGGCTGGATGTGAGGTCAAATCAAAGGCCTTTTCATTCACAGGTCTGTCACTTAGACTAGAAATACACAGCTGGAAGTCAAAATATTTGGGACTTTTCACACTATCTCTATGTGATCAATTCAATATGGTGGTTTCAGGGTAACTGAACTTACAGGGTGGCTCAGAGATTCTAAAGTTCATGTCCCAAGAGAGAAAGAACGAAGAAGAAGCTGCATTAAGCTCTGTAGTTTAGACTGGAAAGTAACACTGCATCTTATTCCTTAGAAACAAGTCACTAGAGCCAGCCTATATTCCAAGGGAAGGCAACTAGACACCACCTCTTCATAGAAAGAAAAAGAATTTGCAGACATGTTTTCAAACCACCACATTATCATTTTGCTCAATCTCATGTGACCCTCATTCTTCATAGGGAGCAGAGTAGGCTAATCAAATTGTCTGGCTTGTGACATCATCTTAACTGAAAACGTGCTCTTCCATCAACAATTCAGCCACGCTAATGTACAACCAGCCTTCAGAAAGCATTTAAGGAATGAGATGCCAACACTTTTCATGAGTTTGTGGTTCACTGTAGCACAGGAAATCTGGTACTTTCCTCCTCACCTAAATCACAGTCCATCCACAAGGCCCATCAGCTCTCAGCTCAGATAATATCCAGATAAAACTTACTTTTATCTTGTCATATAAATGCACACTAATATGCTTAAGCTAAGAAGTAATTAATTGGACTAATACATATCATTCATATGCATCCCACTAAAAGTAGCTTTAAAGTGACCAGGTGAGAATGGAAGATTTAAAAGTTCTCAGAAAATACTTTAGTTGATGCTAATTCAATTTGATTTTTGCTTCCTTCTGAGTACTCTTTACTTCAGCCCTGTAAATACTTCAAACATTATTTAATTTAATCCTCCTTCAGAGCTCATCAGAGAAGAAATTATTCCCTTGCAATGTAGAGATGAAATAAATGAGGTTCAGAGAGTTTAGATAACCATTTCCCCCAGCTCATATTGGCTGAGATGAAAAGAAACTCATTCTGTCTGGCTCTGTATTAGTTTCCTGGGGCTGTCTAAAGGAATTACCATAACCTGGATGGCTTAAAATAAGACACTCTTATTGTTCCCCATTCTTGGTGGTCAGAAGTCTGAAATCAAGGTACCTGCAAGCTTGTGCTCCCTCAGAAGGCTCTAAGGAAGAATCCAATCCTTGTCTCTTCCAGCTTCTCATGGCTTCAAGTATACCTTGGTTTATGGCTACATCATCCTAGTCTCTGCCTCAGTCTTTATGAGGCCTTCTCTCCTCCTCTGTGTCAGTCTGTCTTTCCTCTGTCTCTTATAAGAGCACTTGTCTGCAATTTAGGGCCGACCCACTGAACTCAGAATAACCTCCCCATTTTAAGATCCTCAATTTTATCTGCAAAGATGCTTTTCCCAAATAATATCACATTCATATGTTCTAGGAGTCAGGACATGAACATGTTTCTAGGGGCTGCCATTCAACCCATTGCAGATGCTGAACAGATCTAGTGTCAGGCCAGACTGTATCTCCTACCAGAAATTATGTGGCTCTGAGAAAGTTTGCTAACCTCCCTGAGCCTTGGTTTACATCTTTGTAGAATGAGGATAATAAATGCTTATGTCATATCATTGTTTTGCTGAGAGCATTAAATGATCCAATATGCTGGGTTCTACCTTAAAATGATTCCCATAATTTAGGCATTTTCATCACCTTCCAGCTACCACTCTTATCTATTCATTGTCTCTTACCTAGATTTTTGTCACAGCTTCTCATTGATCTCCGTGCTTATCCCCTTTCTATCCCCTTTACAAAGCAGTAAAGGGAATCTGTTTTAAAATATGTTATATCATATCCATCTTCAACTCAGAGTCCTTCAGTGGCTCCCATCTCATTCAGAGTCAAATGAGGATCAGGTTCATGTTTAGCTGAGTCAGGAGCGTGACACCCATCTCTCCTGAGAAAACTCTGAGGCCTATTAGGGCTGGAGTAATCCACCCCCTCAGGTGTATAGAGATCTGACCTTAGACAGATAAACTGTTCCTCTCAAAAACCTCTAAAGTCCTGACTCCATTCGCATCAGCCCCTAAAA